GTGGTAACGCCGTGCTCAACATCAACAGCAATCGCTAGCCAGATTAGATCAGAGAATTCCGATATATTGGTCATCGCCAAATATACTCTTCCGATCTCCTCGACTCTGTCTTTTGATTTCTCTGGGCGGGAACGAAATATATTAGAAGGTGTTACTGGTAGAAGCGTTGTCAAACACTGAATACCTGTGACATCATCATTGGTGAGCCCGACGTGATCTGGTACACCTAATTGCAACTGTGAGTCTGTTCCTTTTTGGGATTTTTATATATCATTGCCTTATTTTTTTATTTTTTTAAACATTGTGATTTTTTCGTGTTTTTTCCTGGATATATATATATTTTCCCCTTGTTCATTATCGTACTTCATACTTCATCATGACTGAACAGACACCTAAAGTACTCAAGCTTAAGACTTTGCCCCCGCCTTCGTTTCAACTGATGCCTTTCTGGCCCGACAACATCGAAGCCTGGTTTTGCTACGCAGAAGCCGACTTCTCCGAGCACGGCGTGAACGACACACGTGCACAATTCCTCGCAGTAGTCAAGGCACTACCGCGCGAATTCAACAGGTACGTAACACCTAGTATGTTTACTGGTGATGTTTCCGATCCTTACGAAATCTTAAAACGCTCGATTCTTAAACGAGGAGACCTAACCGATTGACAAAGGTTAGATCAACTCTTCAACAACATCGACCTGCAACACGGTTCTGCGACGGACATGTTGCAACGGATGAGAGAGGTAATAGGCCCAAGAACTTTCGACGAAGGTCTATTCAAACAACTCTTCTTGTCAAAACTTCCCCAACAGATGCAAGCAGTTCTGGTCTCGTTCCAGAACAATGCCTTAGACGAGCTAGCTGCATCTGCCGACCGCATTTTAGAAATTACGAAACCCTCTACCACCGAGGTATTTTCAGTCAAAGAAAAACCTCAAACGACTCAGAATGATATAAACGACTTATGTCACACACTCACGCGTTATCTTAGTCTTCGTACCGACCGTAAGAGATCGCGCACACCACGTAGAAGCATTTCTCGTAAGCGATCTGTCTCTAGACCACGAGAGACAGATAACCCCGACTGGTGCTGGTATCATAACCAGTATGGAAAGCTTTCCAGAAATTGCAGAAAACCCTGCAATTTTCCCAACACGAAACCGACTGATTCGAAAAGCAATTCGGGAAACTTCCAAGCCGGCACGCGTTAACGGCAACCGTAGCCGGCGAACAAAGCCGTCTGTTATTCGTCACAGATGTGACAACGAGAGTTCGCTACCTCGTCGACACTGGCGCAGAAGTTAGCGTTCTACCAGCAAATCCTAACGACCGACTACGCGAATCGACCCTAAACTTACAGGCGGCAAACGGAAAACCGATCGCTACGTATGGCAAAAGGTACGTTTACCTTAACGTGGGTTTACACAAACCCATTCACTGGATTTTCGTTGTTGCAGATGTTTCTATGCCAATCATTGGTATGGATCTTCTACAACACCACAATCTGATCATCGACACGCGCAAACGGAGGCTAGTAGACGGGAACACTAATTTGTCCGTTTGCGTAACTTCTTTTACTGTTTGTAGAGTATCCCCAGTCACAGTTAAACATATGATAGACCCACTTTATCAACCATTACTCGATAAGTACCCTGAGATACAAAAAACTCAACCGAAACTACCATGTGTAACCAGCAACGTTACACATCACCTCACGACTACAGGACCACCTGTATTTTCTAAAGCACGCCGACTAGCTCCTGAAAAGCTAAGGTTAGCGAAAAACGAATTCGATCACATGATGGACTTAGGAATCATACGACCGTCAAGTAGCCCATATGCATCTCCGTTGCACATGGTCCCTAAAAAGGACAGCAGCGATTGGCGTCCAACTGGTGACTATCGGCGATTGAACGCGAAAACCATTCCCGATCGTTACCCGTTGCCTCACATTCACGATTTGACAGCTACCTTGAAAGGTACAACTGTCTTTTCGAAAATCGACTTGGTTAAAGCGTATAACCAAATCCCTATGGCTACTGACGACATTCCGAAAACAGCTATCATAACTCCCTTCGGACTCTATGAATTTTTGCGAATGCCTTTCGGTCTAAGGAATGCTGCTCAAACATTCCAAAGATTCATAGACGACGTTTTTCGAGGTCTCAACTTCGTACATGCGTATGTTGACGACTGTCTAATCGCAAGTCCGAACAGAGAAACACATCTCAAGCATCTGGATCTTGTTTTCGAACGACTACATTCTGGATTACCCAGAACCGACCACCGTCAAGCAATTGCGCACGTTTAACGGCCTGGTAAGTTTCTATAGACGTTTCATACCGAAATGCGCATTACTTATGAAACCTCTGACCGACCAACTTCGTGGAAATGCGAAATCCATTAATTTGGACGACACCGCACGAAAATCATTCTCCACAGTTAAGGAACTGATTGCTAAAGCAACAATGCTCGCACATCAGGACACCCGAGTACCCATTAGCATCGCAGTAGACGCATCCGACTCAGCAATCGGAGGAGTCTTACAACAATGGGTTAACAACTCCTGGCAACCCTTGGCATTTTCCTCTAGAAGGTTGCTAGACACCGAATCGAGGTACAGCACATTCGGTAGGGAACTCCTAGCTATGTATTGTGCTGTACGGCATTTCCAACACTATATCGAAGGTCGTGAATTCACTCTTTTCACGGACCATAAACCGCTCACTTTCTCGTTAAGCTCTCCTTCTGACAAGTACTCTCCCCGTGAGTCTCGACAACTGGACTACATTTCGCAGTTTACTTCAGATATTCAACACATCTCTGGAGCAAACAATGTAGTTGCAGACGCTTTATCTCGCATAACTTCCTTGAACAGTTTCCAAGGAATCGACCTTCTTAAACTCGCCGAGCTTCAAAAAGAAGACAGTGATCTTCAGCACGAGTTATCGTCCACAACACTTAAACTACGCATCAAACAGATGGGAACAGGTAAGGAAACCTTACTTTGTGACACATCTACAGGTAGGGATCGCCCAATCATGCCGAAGCATTATCGACGCAATGTCTTCAACACATTGCACAAACTTTCGCATCCAGGTGTTCGTGCAACCACCAAGCTTATAGCAGAACGGTTTTGCTGGCCTGGCATGAATAATGACGTGAGGGAGTGGGGACGATCCTGTGTAAGCTGCCAAAAATCTAAGGTCATCAGACACAATAAATGTCCCTGAGGCTCGTTTAAAACTCCCGATGCTCGTTTCGACCATGTTCATCTGGATTCGGTAAAACCTTTACCAGATTCAAATGGATACTCTTACCTCTTAAACTGCGTAGACCGTTTTACTCGATGGCCAGAAGCAGTACCTATCAAGGACATCACTGCTGAAACAGTGGCTCGCACCTTCGTCGAACGATGGGTAGCAAACTTTGGCTGCCCTTCAACCATCACTACAGACCGCGGACGTCAGTTTGAATCCGATCTTTTCCGACGTCTGACCACACTTTTAGGGATCAATCGCTTCCGAATGACTGTCTACCATCCACAAGCAAATGGGTTGGTAGAACGTTTTCACCGACAACTGAAAGCTTCGCTATCAGCTGCAAACGTTTCACAGTGGACCGACGCTCTTCCACTCGTCTTACTAGGTTTTTGCGATGCAGTGAAAGCTGACATTGGATACACTGCGTCTCAACTCGTCTATGGAACGACACTTCGACTTCCAGGAGAATTCGTGGATCCTTCATCCTCTTCAATGAACATGGATCTAACCTCCTACACGAACAGGCTTACAAACGCAATGCGTTCAGTTAAACCTGCTTTCACTCGACCTCAATCAACTGATGTTTTCGTTCAAAATGACTTAAGATATAGTACACACGTTTTCGTTAGTCGAGACTCGCATCGACGACCATTCGAATCAGCATACGAAGGACCCTTCAAAGTTCTTCAACGTGAATCTAAGTATTATATAGTCGATAAGAACGGAACCAACAATAGCATCAGCATCGATCGCTTAAAAGCAGCGTATTTAGAAGGAAATCCTATCTACGTCGATTTTCCTTCGGTACAATCGAACGACCCGACTCCGACACTTATAATACCTCATCCGACAACCAACACACACGATGATACTTCGACAGTATCCGAAAATAAACTTAAAACGACGCGTTCTGGAAGAAGGGTGAGATTTCCAGAACATTTAAACGACTATTGCACGTAAGGCACTTCTCGACATTTTATATTATGTTTTTTAAAAAAACAATTTTAATATGCTTATATATTTTTATTTCTATTTAAAAGAAAAACAAAACAAAAAAACAATTATTTTAACGCTATTACGTGTTCATGAGTTTATTTTCCATTTTTTTTTACGCCGACATTGTGTTTTTACGCACATACGAGTGTATTTTCGACATGCACTTACATTTTCTTTTTTCTTTTCCAGGACGGCTGGAAAAGAACGATGACGTTTATGAATATCCGAAATTTTCATTGTACATTTTCTTTTTTTACTATGTTGTACCTCCGTCCCATATAGTAAGGAAAGACGACCAGACGCTGCTAAATTTAGTAAGCTATCAGAAGAGTGTTTACCAACGACAAACTCGTTGGGTTTAAACTTCTGGTTGGTCACGTCTTAGGGTCGTCACTGCCGTACTAGGGGGGGGAGTGATCTGTAGCGGTAAATAAATCCCCAAAATAAATAGCACTAGGTTTTCGACATTGGATGCTGACCATATGTTTTAGTGGACTCATTTAGCCGAAGGCGCTCGGTCAGGCATCCGCACCAGGTCACGTGTGGTAACGCCGTGCTCAACATCAACAGCAATCGCTAGCCAGATTAGATCAGAGAATTCCGATATATTGGTCATCACCAAATGTACTCTTCCGATCTCCTCGACTCTGTCTTTTGATTTCTCTGGGCGGGAACGAAATATATTAGAAGGTGTTACTGGTAGAAGCGTTGTCAAACACTGAATACCTGTGACATCATCAATGTGAATGATGATTTCAAAGCAAAAGAAATGAGAAGATCAGAACGTTTACGCATGACACATATATTTGAACTGTCTCGTTTATTGGCAATGGCTTTATTAGTTTTGTTATACTGCTCCAGTTATCATTGTTATATTGAACTTACAAAGGACGACGGTTCGAAATTGGACGTTCTATACGCCCTGTAGGTTTGGTTGGAAAGATACTGCTAGTCACATGTTCAATAAGCTCTAAACGTGTTTTTGAAGCTGAAGGCTTTTACAATAGCAGTTAATCCAGCCATTCAATCGTGCTGTTAAACTCTGGTAATATTTTAAATCTCAGAACAAATTAAAAGCACAATCTCCCAGTTTTGGGGAAATGGCGCCAGAATTTCAAAATTTCCCTCAAATCTTGATGAAGTTCATTTGATTTTGAGGATTACTCCAAAATTCCTTAAAACGTCCACAAACGTGAGAAATACATTTACGGCAAAATAGTAATGCCAGGCAAAGTTGAGAATACCTATTATAAAAACAAAATTTAACAGTTTTATCACATAAGGCGTAACATAATTAACTGGTTTCCATGTTCAACTGCTGGGTAATGTACTTGCAACTTGTTAGATATAATTCGAGGAATATCTTGCAATATGTTTTTTTAATCATCTCGTATTTCTAATATAATCCAGAGTGGTTGAAGGTCGTTTGGTTTTGAGTTTTTACAACCTATAAATTCAAGTTTAGAGCTTTTATCAGCGGCAGCAAAATAACAATAGAGAAGGCGGCTTGCTTGCGTACTTTCAGAATCCACCTGTCCTATTCTGTTATTTCCGAGAGTAGCTTGCTTATTAGTTACTTATTATGACTTATTGTGCTTTCAAACCTAGGGACTGGTTCTTTTACCGAAGATCCTGTTTTGTAAAACTACTACCCTCTGTTAAATTTATTTTGACAAGCTGTGATGTTTTGTTCCTTAAACTCTCATCTCCACAGTCCGATTTTGCAAAACACATGTAGGTCTCATTACTTTCCTTAATTTTTTGACGACCACCATGAACACTACAACATCAAAAGATTTGTACCATATTAGTAAAAAGAGCACGACAAAGCTATTTCATAAGTGAAGTATTTTATCCACTCAGTACAAGACACTCGGTAATTTTTCATCACTCTCAATCTGAGTATAAACCAAAACACTGATATAAATGTGACACTGTCTTTAGACTCATAATTTTATTATACTTTATTTGAAAATTAATTCAATTGGTCATTAAAGGGAAGCCTTTGCGCGTTAGATCACAATTAAAACTGTAAAATTGATCAATCCAGAAGAATTATTACTGTTTTTCTGAACACCATCAATTGTACAATCAAGACCCAAGATTTTACCAGTTAAATATGTAAATAAGCATTCCACTGGAATAATAATATTTAGATCATTAGAATACCTAGTTATGCCAAAAAGAGGACATCTCTATGTTAAAAAAAACTGTCAAAGAAATGTTTGCTGCATTTGTCTTGGGCTATCAAGAATTGTTAGAGGTTAACTTCCCTGGTTATTGTAAAGCGAAACTTTAAAAGTCTGTGTTAGATAGGTTTATCGACAGTAGAAAGAGAACTTTTCTTCACTCCTTGGTTTTATGGTTATTGGTCGTATTTGATAAAAACGTTTGTGGAGGCGAGAGAATTTTGTCTTGGTAACGGTACGATAAACACCACTATCGATTTGGAAGTTGTTGATTGGTCAGATCATCACGTATGGTTGGGTGGTTACTGTTGCTTGATTGTTTAAAAAGCTGAAAGATCGTCGGCACGTCAATTGACATTTTTCTAATATTGATTCCAGCTATCTGATCGATCTGCGCATTTTAATTTTGCGGCAATTATAGCTCTCTAAGATTCTTGTTCTGATTATTATTTCGTTTATTTTTGAGCTTTCGTCATTGCTAATTTCGATTGACTTCATTCACTATTAGACACAAGCTCGTCTTATGTGGTTGTTGAACTTCACGGTCAATTTCTGTTTTGTTCTTTACTCTTTTAGATTGGTACTACTTTGAACACTTCCTCCGCATACGAATTATCTCTAATCTATACGAAAACCGATCAAAGGAAAGACATTACATTTGTCCAGATAATTTTACGATATATGTTTTAATTCAGCTGCCATAGTTATTATACTTAAGTGAGTACATATGAGAAGTAATTGTGTCATTTAGCGTCTGTAATCCAATGAATTCTTCAAATGTTGATCTCCTGTGCACCGGGAACGAGGGGATGTCTTCATATCTGCTACATAGTAATAACTGTCACAATAGTGATGGTGAAGTACTGGAATCCCTGCTGCAGAAAATCCATGTAAGTGATTTGCAATATAACAAAACATTGTTAGAGCCTGGAAAAAGAACGTCGGATTCTCAAGCTTCGTCTGGAGGCTGTTGAGAGTGATTATGATGCTCAAGTAAAAGAACTACAGACGGATATAATTGCCATGCGTATAGACCTAAAAAAGGAAAAGAAAATGTGTAGACAGATGGAACGTGAGAAAAATACTACTATATCGGAGCTAATGCAACAGAATCAATCTTTAACTTGTCGGCTTAATACTTCCAGTGAGAATGAAGCTCTTTTAAGAGAGGAAATGTCTACCTTGAGGTTGGAATTTTTAAAGCACAAGTCGTCTATGCAAGAACATGTTCAGTCAATCGAGTCTTTGAGACAAGAAGTTAGTTCCGTAATATTGTTATAATAATTTTAGATCACTAAATTACGTGAGGAGAAACATCACTTAGAAAACCAGTTAAACACCGTTGTGGAGGAAAGAAATAGCCTTCTACAGTCACTCAATGATTCTTATCAAGAAATAAGAATGATGAGACATGTGAATAACGAACACATCGCTACCGTATGTTTTCAATTTTGTTAGTATAGTTTTTAGATAAATATTCAAGACGCAGAGATTACAAGACTTCAAGAGACAGCTAGTATACTTCACAACCGGCTCCATAAATTGTCGATCCAAACAGGTGAACAGAAATCTAGTAGTAATGAGGATGATCGCGTGAAAACAGTAGACTCTCAACCACATCGTTCTTTAATGGCTGAACTGGCTGAGCAAAAAATGATTCAAGCAGAGGTAAACATTTGTGATCACAGTGAATAGTTTTGTGATACATAATCTTTGATTAACTCACAGATTTTGTATGGTGTTATTTTGTTATTACTGTGCATACAATACTAGATTTTACCATTAGCTATACATTTTTAGACAATGTAGGTAGAAACGTTTTAGTCGATATAGTCCCCAAAAAAGTACACACTCGAAATGCTAAGGGTTAATAAAAACACCAAAGACTAAATCGTATGTGGTCGGTTATAAGTAACATAGAACAAAATGATTATAACTAAATTAGGTCACGATCTAAGTCTTATTTCCAAAGTGAAGTTAAATGACTAAGGCCTTTTGCATCTCTTATTTAACTCATTCTGAGAATGTTTATATTACACATGGTAAACTTCAAGAACTATCAAATTATTATTCAGTTAAATAACTGGTAACAGCTAGCGCAAGAGTGCTTTATTATGTGAGCAAACCATTATTATGTCCCTATCATGTGAAATAACTGACATGATTTATTAGGATAAAACTAAATCATTTAATCCATATCAGAAAGGCTTCAGATAGGGATGTTATATATTACTCTAAAAATAATGTCTTATCAATGCATTTTCATAATATTGACTTTTTATACGTAGGATCGGACTAATGATTTTTGTTATATATTACGTTTTATTTACTTTTGTTGGGGTATGACAGTAGTTAGCGGGTATGTGTTGATATTTTACTTTAGAAATTGCTAATCATAGTCAAAATTTCCTGTTGTTTGTCATCCAATGACTGATCTTATTGATAAAAGTTTTCAACAAAAGACTGCAGCATCGCCACGGCGCTCAGTGCTGACTAGTGTTGAAGACGGTCGGAAGAAAGTTATGGGCGGATGAACCAAAACGTGGCATCAGTCCATAAAGTCTCTAACTCTTCTGATCTGAGCCGTGTTGGTAGATGCAGACTACTTGTTTGGGGTTCATGTGACTATTATGACCAGTGGTTGGAGACTCTAGGTGATATGGCTCATAATCATTCACATTAGCGTGAGTGTATAGACTCCTTTTCTTCGCTTAACACGTTAGATTTGAATTAATTTTTACCTTTATTTTTACGAACTAATTCTTTCTCCCTGTATCATATCATTATAAACAGTCAGCTACAATGTAGGACCAGTCACATATATGCATCGATCCAAGTTGCCACACCTCGTTAGTACAACAAGGTGAACACCAAATTCATAGAAGTAGTTACTTAAGCTTGTCACCCCTCGTGGAGTAGTATAGGCGTCCACCAGCACACTTCATCTAACCCTGTCGTGGGAATTCCTTTCCAGTTCTTTCCAGTTGCTATTCATCCTTTTCATGTTGTAGTGAACAAGAATATGAGCGGGGATAATCGGATGTGTTTGACATGAAATCACAGAGCATCTCACTAAAATCTGAGAACCATATAGCAAATAGTTAAGTTGCAAAATATCAATCCATCGTCTCAAACTTGACTGTTCTTCGTGCAAATATCAGTCCATTAACTCAGATTTCATTGTTCCATGCATTTTCATACCAATTGCGTTCCGTTTCCGTTCTTTCCCTATCGATCTTCTACTGAAACATATTCTATGCCTGACCACCGTTATATACTACTTATGTGAATATAAGTAACCATCACCACAATGTCTGCTTCCAATTCCCGACGTAGTGTGTTCTTCGGCCTTCGTCTTTTACGTTCATTTCAGGATTCCAAGTGAGGGCTTGCCTTATGATGCAGTTTGGTGATTTCCTCAATGTTTTTCCTGTCCACTTCCAACGTCTTTTCCTGATTTCCTCATTAGCTGGTTTGTCCTATCCCACAGTAGGCTGTTGCTGATAGTATCCGGCCAACGGATATTGAGTATCTTGTGTAGACAACTGTTAATGAATACCTTTATCTTTTTGATGATGCTTGTAGTGATTCTCCAAGTTTCAGCTCTGTACAGTAGAACGGTCTTGACGTTCGTATTGAAGATTGTAACTTTGATGTTGGCCGATAATTGTTTTGAGTTCTATATATTCTTCAATTGTAGACATGCTACCCTTGTTTTGCCAATCCTTGCATTCACATATGCATCAAATCCTCCATGTTCGTCGATTACGCTGCCCAGATATGTGAATTTTTCACGTGTTCCAGAGTCTCCATCCAGTGTGATTAAGTTGGTGTCCTCCGTGTTGCATTTGAGGATGTTGTCTTTTCCTTTGTGTATATTGAGGCCTACTGATGCAGGGACTGCTGCTACACTAGTTGCCTTCATCTGCATTTGTTCGTGTGTATGGGATAGGAGGGCTAGGTCATCTGAGAAATCCAAATCATCTAATTGATCCCGAGCTGTCCATTGTATTCCGTGCTTCCCCTCACATATGAAGGTCTTCATAATCCAGTCAACCACCAAAAGAAAGGAAGAGAGTCAGTAGTTTTGTCTGACTCTGGTTCTTACTTGTAAAGGGTCTGTGAACTGTCTTCTATGCACGACTTTGTACTGTAGTCTATCATAAGAATTTCGGATGATGTTGGGGATCTTCTCAAGTACAAAATAGTGTCGAAGAAGGTTCCATAAGGTTCTCCTGTCCACACTGTCAAATGCCTTCTCATTGTCAAAGAAGTTGATGTATAGTGGTGAGTTGCACTCAACTGATTGTTCAACGCTGATCCGCAGCGTCGTGATTTGGTTTGTGCACGACCGATTACTAAGGAATTCAGTCTATTGATTTCGAAGTCGGGCGTCTGCTGAGTCTTTCATCCGGTTCAGTAACACAGTTGAATACCATTCCTGGTACTGACAGTAATGTGATGCCTCTAGTTCTCACATTTACTTAGGTCTCTTTTCTTTTGTATCATGATGAGGTGTCATTCTTTCCAGTTTGTCAGCACTTGTTATTCCTCCTAAATCTTCATGAATAGAACGTGCGGCATGTTTGCAGTTACTTCTATGTCTAACTTCAGGGCTATGCGTTCGCTTTATCTAGCTGTTGTTGATTGTTGTCTCCTTGTTCTTTCTCTCTTGAATCATGCTCAGGGTTTTGATAGAAATCAATTCCTTATGATGATGCTTGTTACGGCCTAGCATCTCCTGACACGTTGAAGTTAGTTTTTCTTCGAACCCTTTCTAGTTGTAGTTTCTCCTTTCAGTAGATCCCGTAAATCTTGGAACCTGTTGTTAAGAGTTATCTTGAATTGATTGAGTTTGTTAGTATCTCATCTGTTCAGCTTTTCTTTAGCTCCAGTCTCATCTTGGCCACAACTAGGTGGTGGTTCTCACGTCTTCCACTCTAAATTTTCTAATGATGCAAATATGAACTGGTTCTCTGTGGTGTAATCCAGTGAGACCCATGTAGCTTTGTGTATGCGCTTGTGTGGGAATATTGTGTCACTGATATGATGGAAAGAAAAGTCAAAATTTCGATTGATTTACTCATTGTTAGATTTGTTCAACATTACTTCCGTCTCGATTCAATGTGATGATTACTCAGTGTAGTATTGGGTTTTGTTTTCTCGTATGATATTGTATTCTGTATAACACAGTGTTCTTGTATTCAGTGGACATGAACTATGGTCAGCAAATGATTTTTTATAACTGAGTATTGTTTATATATGCAATTTCATCCTAATTACTTATCAAAGTATATGTATAATCAATATATAAATGAGTGTATTTTCTACTAGGGTCGTCGAGTTTTGGGGGTTAATAAATTTTCACTTGTACTAGTCTTTGTTTTTTTACTTTCGCGTCGTGGGAATTGCAGAGGTCCCTCGTCTCGAGTATAAATGGTAACCGTTTCATACACAGCAATTTGCGACGATCAGATATGAAAAAGTAGCATTCAAACAACAAGACATACCAGCCACCTATAATCAGTTTGTTGAATGAACACAGATTTGCAAATCTCTCGCCATTCTCGTTCCTTTCGCCCAGTCCATGTTGTCCGTGATACCTTCATATCCGTTTTTGTTCATCCCCGACTTTGGCGTTAACACCTCCCATCGGGATTGTTAGGTCCTTTCTTGGGCACTTCGCTATGATTGATTGCAGCCTCTCGTAGAGCTGATCTTTATTATCATCGTTGCTATCATTGGTGGGCGCATAACATTGGATAACATTCATCGTGACACCTCTATGTTTTGAAGAATGTTTTGATGATCCTGGATTCACGAGATTCCCATCCTATATGTACCTTACAGTTGGAGTTAGAAGTAGTTACTTCGATGGTATTAATGTATGAAAGAAAGATTATGTATAAGAATATAATACAAAGAGAAAGGATTGACTCGTAGAATTCAATGTACAAATCAATTTTAATTTCATGGCTTAAGGGAACACAAATTGTGTATATATCGACGCCATTGTGATCGGTTCTGAGCCATGTCACCCAGAGTCTCTGACCATTGTTTACGATAGTCACGTGGACCCCAACCAAGTAGTCTGCATCTACCATCATCTGTTCGCTGATACGGAATATTAAAATACGCACCTTGATGTCTTTCTGTTTGGTTTAGGCTACCTACCTGGGCATTAAAGTTACTTAATAAGAGTACACAGTGGCTAGAGACGTTATCAGATATGGCTCAGAATAGAAGCCAGTGGCGATCCTGCTGTAACCTTCTTTTACTTTCTTCATAAAAAGTGGTTGTGTCTCCCTTACCTGAAAGATTTCTTCTGATTGTACCTTTCCGTTCCCTCATTTCTACCATACTACCTTACACCAATCTCCTCGTTATTGTTCTCTTTTTTTGCGCTCCTTAGCTTTTTTTTCTATTTCTCTTTGAATTCTCATTGTTTTGTGTGGCGCATATATATTAGCGCTCTCTTGTACCAATATTCATGTGTTCAAATAAATAAATAAATAATAAGAGTACTACTTCTGAGCGTTTAATTTTATGAAGACGTTCAGAAAGCTTTATGTAAAAGTCATCTTTCACTTCATCCGGGCTGCAGTTAGTGAGAGCGTAGTCAGAAAGGACGAAAAAGCAACGACGTGTATCCTTATCCGAATAGCACATAGGCGACTGTTCATATCCCTATATGCAATCTAATATATACATACCATCTAAGTAACTACTATGGATTTGGTGTTCATCTTGTACTAATGAGGTGTGGCACCTTGGAGCGACGCATGTGTGCCTGGTCCTACGCTGTAGATGACTGGCTGACTGCAGCATCGCCTAATATAATGTCTTTGTAATCAGTAATGAACTTTAACTCATTATAAACAGTTTAGTACCTGAAAAACATGTTTCATTAGCTTATAACCTATTTTTATCTGGGTGAGCATCTAAATTTGCACGGAAAGAGAAAGATGAAGACCGCTGATAGGTTCATTAGATTTCAGTAAAACTAAATTTGCACTGGTAAAAAATTAGAGTCATATTAAATTTAGGGGGTTTGACCCACTAAAAGTGGTCAACATATTCTGTTTTGGTAGACAGACTTAACCAGCCAAAATGTGTGTAAATAGTATTATCATGGCGACTTATGTGCAGGTGACCCATCACCAGGTTGATTGAATGGGTTTATTTTCTGATAATGTTGATAAGAAGTTGGTCTCTTCTGAAAATGTGTTTGTTGTATCGTTTTGATCGAGGCAGAATAGTGTGATAGAATCTAAGTCAGGTTTAAAACTACTGTTTCTGAGCTGAAATTAAGCACGAGAGGTAATAGTGATAGGATTAGTATTTGCCACTGTAAGATTTTCTGATGTGTTTCTCTTCTGAACATAAATGAGCTTTAAAAAAAATCAGGTTAAGTAACCGATATCTACCCGTCATGATTCAAGACAGATTATGAGATCATGAAAGTGAAATCAAAATAAACTTACAAATTTATAGTGTAATATCAATCGGGGATTGGTTGCACTAAGTTTTAGGTTTGATTACTATTCCACTTCCATATTTTTCAAAGATTATGAAAATCATATGTAAATAGATGTGTGGTATAATGGGGAACTTCCCAAACCGTTTTAACTAACCATATACTCATGATCTTGAGTATGTGATAACGCTCTATAATTAAGGTCTTAATTTAAAAACATCTTTACCAGATTTCGACAAGTTCTGTTCTGAGATAACTCACCAGTAAAATTCGACTCAAACTATTTCTACCAACATTTTTTCAGTTCTGCAAACCTATTTTTTTGTTAGCTGTTCTCACCAGGGGCATATTATGGAGATTGGATTACTCTTCAGCATCTGTATGTTTGATTTCTTTTGATCTTGGATGATTGATAATCTAACAGATTTCATAATTTATCTGACTATGATTCATCCATAAGACAAATGAAATGAGATTCAACTTTGAAAATGATCTTTTGACATTTGAAACTATATTTATTGGCCTTTAGGTTTCAGTAAAAAACCATAACCCATTAATATGAGATTTCAACTAGGTGGGATGAATTATGTCTGTAATTAATAACGCTACATATTATAAGGAAATAGTATAAAAGCTACTTAAGCACTTTGCCCTCTTTTTACTTCATATTTTCATCAATGTGATGACATCTTCAAACGCTAGTCTTTCCTATTACTGCCTATACTTTTACTATCTCTACCACTACGAGATTTGAATCGACAACTGCATCTCTGTGCTAATGTGGTTGGCAACTCGAACATACGTACGTATGTACGAAGTTCTACGTTGTTTCTGACCAACTGACTGGGTTTGTTTTCAGCTCCTTCACTATAATAGTTTTTAATAAGTAACTTAATATTACCTATTATGATTTACAAAATCCTAAGTTATAATTTTGAATCATGAAATTCTCTGGCCCAACTGTCTGTAAGCCATTATAGATTTTGATTAATGTGGTAAAAATTAAGCATGTTTCCAATAATGTATGATCGTTACAAGTTTCTTGATCGTTAACACAAATGAAAAGAAAAAAGATACATAATAATCTAGAATTATAATAAATTTGTTTATTTTATCTTAGTATCAGAAAGGGTTTTGTGGAAATTGTAGTAATTTGAACAGTTGAGATTATGAGTCAATTGAAGCTAGACCACCATAGAAAACCTGGGAGCACTGGACGGCCGTCCTGTCCTATTGTAGGACCCCTCAACAGTGCGCATCCTCGACTCCGTCTCGCGGGATTCGAACCCAGGGCCTATCAGTTCCGCGTCAGGCACCTAACCAACTAGACCACTGAGCCGGCATCCAACGGTGTTAATGTCTAACTTCAACTAATCCACGAAATTGAGCGACACACCCACCATTGTCATCAGTGAGTTACTACCTCACAACTGACCCGGAGTCCCACAATAGGACGAAACGGCTGTCCAGTGCTTCCAGGTTTTCCATGGTGGTCTAGCTTCAATTGACTCATGATTTCAACTGTTGAAATATTTTATTTTAGACTTAATTCCGCTTATTTATCCCGGTGTTTTTTCAACAATAAAAAAATCAACATTCGAAATATGAAGTAAATATTATCGATCCGTCTATACATATGAATAAAGATTTCTATCAGACAGTAAGAAAATATTACATTTTCCGATCAATACTGTTATTCTCGTTCATTAAAGAAAAACGAAAATTACAGACGTTTAGATCTATTATTTTGATGTTTAGATCATTTAGGATAGAGTGGTCTGTAAAATTAAATACAAAACTCTGAGAGTAAATAACTAGTTTCTCTAAATAGAGATCAATGCATAATTTAATACAAGGTACAAATCGAAAAAATAAATATAATCACATGCTGGAGATTTTATTATTAAATAGGAATTATCACTAAAATATAGAAGTATTATTTTCATCTTGTAGGTCTACTTGATTGAAAGAGTTTTTGATCCAGTATGATTTACAGTGTAAATAGATACTATTATTATCTTCGTCTAATAGGCACATGCTGACATTTAACATATAATTATATTGAGTACAGTCTCTTTGTAGAGAAACGAATGACGAAATGACAGGATGTGTAGCTTTGTTGAAATTAGGATAAGGAGTTATCTTCATTTACTTTCCAGTTATCAAGAAAAGCTATCTGAATAACTGTATTTGATGGCTTACTCAGAAATGTTTACTGGAATGGTGAGATTATGTTCAATAAATGGAATACACCCGTTAAGACACTAAACAAAAAAGATTTGTTCAGCGAAGAGTTCTCTTTTCGGTGAGTTCGTTTTCAAAGCTGTTCAAACGATTAGTAAGGCATCTTTTGTGTCTCATAATTATGATTTCAAGTATATAAAATTAAAACAACGAAAAGCCTTTTGTGATTCAATTACGATGAAGCGCCAAGGCATTAAAACAATCCCCATGTAATTTGGTATATAAGTTGAACTTGATAGTAAGTCAACGTCTCCATTTAGCATTAATCAGTATTCGAAGAAAGCGGATCTTTGAGGAACGACCTAGACTGTTTCTTGCTTTATTACTGGTTGTGGTTTCATTTCGCATGTTATTTTTCCCAAACTACTGATAGAACTTTTGTTTTAAAATTATACATATGACTGGGATTTCATACTTTTTCGGTCAGTAACTTGGTGGATCTATCAATTTTCTTTAACTTTATTAACAATAGATATCTTCAGGAAGCAGTGTTGATTTTAGTTTTCAAGTTACGCATGTGAGATATTAGAAGAAATTAGTCTTTTCACTGTTAATATGTGAGTTTTATGTGAAAGCTTTGCAAAACTATACATTATATTGCATTAATCTTTCAGAATTATAATTGTTCGCCATTTACTCTGGAGGATGATGACAATGTGGAGTTTGAAATGGATGACGATACATACATGGCTTACTTATCATGTTTTGATCAGGATATTATTTCAGATAGTTTGGTACCGTCTGATTCACACAATATTCCATTGGAATCTTCTAATGTGAATACGAAGGAAACATTTATAAACGAGCTGAGATCGGAAGTAACGGAAGTAGGTTTCTTTTAAATGCATTTCATTGTTTGCAGAAAAAATTTATTGGTGCTTTATTTATATTTTCCATTTTTCATAAGTGCTTAACGCTGAAAATACAAAAACTGTTGATATTGTACTGTTTGAAGTAAGCTGAACTATAGTTTCTTGCTCTGAAACCTATAGATTTACCGAAATAAAAAAATTAATGAAACCAATTTCAGTTCTACATTTAAGATATTCACTTTAACGCAAAGTAGGTAACACATGAAAGCTGGTCATAACATCTTGTTCTAACACTTTTCTTAATAAGTAATTTCCTGTTAAAATGTAAGTGTAAATACCTAAATAACTTCGTTTAAAAAGCATTGTCAGTTCTCGCAGAATTTTGCAATTATATCGTAATCTTGGCGGTATAACTCAACCAGTAAATTTTAATAATGGGTTCTGGTTGGTTCTATATTTTCTGAACTTAGTCATTGTAAATCTTTTATTTTCATTCGAAACGATCAATTAATATCAAATTTCAGTATGCGATAAGCTTTTAATTTTTCTTGCGAGTAATATGTTCGCAATGTTAGTAAACTTCATTTATACTATTAGGCAACAATCAGTTGACTTTCTGGAAAAATGTACATTTTAGAGGTACGTTCGTATCTAAAATTTTACGTTTTAAAACTGCAAAACAGTCCATTTTGTTCGTATTATGAATAGCTTCCTTCTAAGATATTTTGGCGCCTAGCCGCCCATTTAAAAATCGAACTACAGTTTGTTATTCAATGATTATTTCAAAAAATAATTTCAGATTTATCAGCAGATGAACCGAATGTGTGTGGAATTATGTGCTCTTACTGGAACGAAACAAGAATCTTGTAGTAAAGTTGGTACGCATACTCCTGATGAATTGGCCATGGTTGAAATGGATTTTCGTTTGGGCTCATTACGTTCTGTATTGACTGATTTACGTGGACTGCTGAAAGATTTGAGGATTGATATTCCAGAACAGCCTACATCATCAAACTTATCTAAAGATACAGTAATGTCAGATGAAAAAAAAACAGAAACAATTGAAGTAAGTAATTCCAGTATGATTACACAGTATATCCCAATTTTCAGTAATATTATATTTTTTCTACTCTGACTGTTAATTATATAAGTTACAGAAATTAAGGTCATATCCATTCTATACTTTATAATAATAACTGTTATATCCGAGTGAAGATTAAATCACGAGTAACTTCTGAGACATAATAATTGACTAATATTATCTGTACATTCTTATGGTATAATTATATAATAAATAGATTATGTATATTTATATTCTTCTTATTATAAGCTTTATTTTGACCTATAATTTATTATTGTACGATTTACGGTTCTTAAGCTATGTTCAGTTTATTGACTTACTGCCTCCCACGTTCACAGCCACTTTTTGGCCTTATTGTGTACAAATGTTATTTCCTATTTTATGGTACGTTGCGGTCTGTTTGCTTGATATATAAACCGAGTATGTCTGAAATAAATTCGATTCGCATATTGGAAGCTGGTATTGATGTTCTGGACTCAAGTGGAGGGGCTAGGCGGACATAGGACCAATAAGGACGCTAGGCTGCTCATACCGGTCGAATGTCATTGGTTTGGCATAGTGCTAAGATTGTATAAGTCGTATTTTGATTGGTGGACAAATCACGTGATGAAAAGCCGGACATAAAGTCATGACAATAACAATAATAATAACACTTGGTTAAATGATTAAACATAATGTCTAAGTAAATAATATTGTTGAAAATACTGTGATCGTTTTTTGTTTCATGAGTTATCTTTACTTTTGTTCAGTAGAATGATGATACTAACCAAATTTTGTAACTGATGACGCGTTGCGCAATTTTTTCATGAATGTATTATAGCACAATGTATTCTATAGCTTTTACAAATCTGGACATCCTCCAACAGGCTTTTTTCTTTGGCAATAGATTAGAAATAAAAAATTACATTAGTTAGACCAACTGTGTATTTCTTTATTTACTATTTATTTATTTATTTATTTATTTAAACACATAAACATTGGTACAAGGAGGCACCAAACAAATATGCGCCACATAAGTCATTCGATTTATGTGAGGGCTGGGATACTGCCCGGGTGCTCAAACCGAAGCAGGGTGTATTTCTTTACCCGTAATAAATTTCTGTTGAAGCATTTCGCTACTAGTAATAATTTCGTATATGAAACATTTATAATTATAAAGTTAAATAATAAATAATTAAGGTAACATTGTTCATGTGAAAATTATGCGCAAACAACATACAGCATAAATCTGATAAAATCAATTATTTCAACTTCCTATAGAACAATAATTTTTGATAAAAATTTAGAACGGAAGTGGATTTAATCAAAATATAGAATAAACTCTTGCTTGAAATGTGTATCTATGATAATAAAGACATTTCTAGAACAACTTGAACATAACTAATAATATTGTGGTGTATGCTACTTATATTGACATAAGTAGTATATGATGTTAGTCGTGAACAGAAGGTTTGGCAGCAGAGAGACAAGAGAATCGAACAGTAAAGAACGGAAATAGGATGCGATTTGTATGAAAATGCAAGAACAATGAAGTCTGAGTCATTTTGAGACAATTGGTAGACATTTTACAAATTAAGCATTTACTTAATGATTATTAGATTTTATTAACAAGTCCTGTAATTTTGTGTTCAATACATTCGATTGTTCCCACTGGTGTTCTTGTTCACTACAATATTACTTATTTGTACGAAAAAGCTACATTTAATTAACAAAATATTAACATTTCGACAACTTAACACGACAAAATCATCAAAAGATCATTTATTTCAAATAAATTTAAATTTATTATTATTTTTCATAATGCTCATTTAAGAAAACCTTTTTCAAGTAATCAATGAACATGAATACCGAAAACTTTTATCCGCATTATTTCTACTGGTGATTGTTTATCATATGCACAATAAATATACTTAACAAATAACACTAAGGTAGATACATAGACATTCTTTTCGCATTGATCCTTATCTATTTAGTTTTATTATTTCCAGATCAGGTTGTGTTTTTTTTTTAAATTGACTACTTATTCTACTATTGTGTTTACCATAGTTTTGACAGTAAAATGGTATTATGATTGTTAATGGCTTATTTCTTTAAATTTTCATTTTCATCTCAGTGCTATTTTTAAGATGTGCATTAAAATACACTTACGAATGGATTATGAAGATAAGCGTTGAAATGTTTGACAATAATTATGACCCAAAAACAAGTGTCGATTTTACTTTCACTAATTTATGATGTTTCTTTTTCGTTTATTTAATCTAGTTGAAATGACTAACAATTTTGGAATGAGAAAATAGTGTCATTTTAGATTCCTTTTTGATTAGGCCGTTTCACTAATAGTTCTTAAATAATTATTAATATCTTCTAAACTATTATAACTCGATTCATCATTGACTCAGTGGATGAATACGTTCTGCTGTTGACCAAACTGTTTTTGATTCAAGCTCATTCAGGGGCAAAAGGTACTTTTGTAGGGTAGTAACTCTGTAGTCAAGACGTTTGCCTTATAATTAGTAGGTCTCAGGTTTGAATTCCTCTCCATCTACTTTGGTTTAGGCAACTGAGTAGCATCAATAACCTTCACTCTTCGAGTTTGGCTTGTAGCCAAATATCTGATCAATGAGATAATGAATTTTGTCGTTAAGATTTGTCTCCTTTAACGGGCTTCCTTAGTGATTTTCAGCAGACATCTTATAGACTGACTTTTTTAAAAATAATTTTATATTCTAAAACACTCATTCGCAATTTCGATCCAAATCCAAGTCTATCTTATTCAAAATTTAAAAATTTAAATGCATAAAAAAATCCGACTCCTTAGTTCACAATAATCTATCACACTCTCATAAGAGTTAACAGAATAAATAAAAATGAAAGGCAAAATTATAATACAAATAACTTCTAGTTATTTGTGTATTCTGTTTGATTAGGTCCAATACTTATTCAATGTACTTTTACTTAATTTTTTTTCTTTACTTAGCCTCTTCGTATGTCCAGTTCAACTAATGTGCAAGATATTCCACTTGCTAATTATGAAATGGAATGTCAACTTGTTCGTTCAGAGTAAGTAATCCTAATAAGAGTTTTGTTTGTTTGCAATTAAACATTATTATTACATTGAAGTGTTCACAAATATAAATGTTCTAGTAAATAGCAATGAACACGAATTTGATTTAGTGTTTTTTTCCAACAATTTATGTTAACTGTACTAGTATATTGACCTGAATCAGTAATTAAATAATTTATTTACGAAATAACGTTGTTTATTTGCAGATGGGTTTTTCTTTCAGAAAAGTTAGATAAACACAAATTCATTGATGGACAGAATAATTTAATTGTAGCTGTTCTCTTATATGGATATTCTAATTCAAAGTAATAATTCCTTTTTATTATCTATTTATTTTCTATATTTTACTTGTAAATTTTTTTCGTTGATATTTACCTAGACGTGATGCACTTGCAGCTGAACTATTGAATGCACAACAAGAACTACTTGAACTCAAAAGTCAAATTGAAAATAGTTCAGGAAACTCTAGTGAAGTGCAAAATTTGCAAAACACTAAAGGAAATAATTTTGTTGCTAACTGGGAGGTAATTGAGTATTTCCTTTCTCATTTAAACTTTTAGATGTGAAATTTATCTTTATTTTGAGCATTCGATTTTCGATGTAAAAAACATGGTTAATGCACTTACTTACTTACTTACGCCTGTTACTCCTAATGGAGCATAGGCCACAGACCAGCATTCTCCAACTCACTCTGTCCTGGGCCTTCTTTTCCAGTTCCATCCAATTCTTGTTCATTTTTCTCATGCCTATTTCCATTTCCCGGCGTAATGTGTTCTTTGGTCTTCCTCTTCTCATTTGGCCTCGAGGATTCCATGTGAGGGCTTGTCTTGTGACGCAGTTGGGTGCTTTCCTCAATGTGTGTCCTATCCACTTCCAGCGCTTCTTCCTGATTTCTTCCTCCTCTGTGATCTGGTCTCTTCTCTCTCACAATAGGTTGTTTCTGATAGTGTCTGGCCAACGGATCCGAAGTATTTTGCGTAGACAACTGTTAATAAACACCTGTATTTTCTGGATGATGGCTTTCTTAGTTCTCCAGGTTTCCGCCCCATACAGTAGAACTGTCTTGACATTTGTATTGAAAATCCTGAGCTTGGTGTTGGTTGACATATGTTTTGAGTTACAGATGTTCTTCAATTGTAGATATGCTGCTTTTGCTTTGCCGATCCATACCTTCACATCTGCATCAGATCCACCGTGTTCATCAATGACATGTAAAGGTTTTTACATCTCCCAAATCTTCTCCGTCAATTGTGATTAGATTGGTGCATGCTGCGTTGTATCGGAGAATCATGCTTTTCCCTTTGTGTATGTTGAGATCTACTGCTGCTGAGGCTGCTGCTACTTTGGTGCGATAGAAGAGCCAGATCATCTGCAAAGTCTAGGTTCTCCACTGTGTCCCATGCTTCTCCTCAGATTTTGAGGTCTTCATGATCCAGTCGATCACCAGGAGAAAGATAAAGGGTGAGAGTAAGCGACCTTGCCTGACACCCGTTTTTACTTCGAACGACTCTGTGAGCTGTCCTCCATGCACGATTTTGCAGTGTAATCCATCATATGAACTCTGTATGATATTGACTATTTTCTCATGCACGCCGTAGTGTCGAAGAAGTTTCCATAGTGTTGTTCTGTCCACGCTATTAAATGCCTTTCCGTAGTCAATGAAGTTGATGTAGAGTGATGAATTCCATTCAATTGATTGTTCCACAATGATCCGTAGAGTTGCGATTTGGTCTGTACACGATCTATCCTTACGGAATCCTGCCTGTTGGTCACGAAGTTGGGCATCTACGCAGTCCTTCATCCTGTTTAACAATACCCTGTTGAAGACTTTTCCCGGTATTGAGAGGAGAGTGATGCCCCTGTAGTTACCATACTTGCTGAGATCGCCTTTCTTTGGTATTTTGATCAGTAGTCCTTCTTTCCAGTCTTATGGTACTTGTTCCTCATCCCAAATCTTATTGAAGAGAATGTGGAGTATCCTTGCAGTTGCCGCTACGTCTGCTTTTAGTGCCTCTGCTGGAATGTTGTCCGGTCCTGCTGCTTTGCCACTCTTGATTTGTCTGATGGCCATGCTGATTTCTTCAATTGTTGGTGTGCCAACATTGATTGGGAGGTCCGTGGGTGCTGCTTCGATGCTGGGTGGGTTCAGTGGAGCTGGTCGATTCAGGAGTTCTTTGAAGTGTTCTACCCACCTGTTTTGTTGCTCTTCAATGTTGGTGATTACCTCGCCTTCCTTGCTTTTCACTGGTCGCTCTCGTTTGCGGCGATTTCCAGAGAGTTTCTTTGTCGTGTCATACAATTGTCTCATGTTTCCTTCTCTTGCAGCCTTTTCCGCCGTCATTGTTGGATCTTCCACATATTTACGTTTGTCGGTTCTGATGCTCCTCTTCACTTGTTTGTTTACTTCTGTGTATTCAGCTTGTGCCTTGGCTTTTTCTGCTCTTGTTCGACTGGTATTGATTGCTGCCTTCTTGTTCCTCCTTTCTTGAATCTTATCCAGTGTATCAACAGTGATCCATTCCTTGTGGTGGTGCTTCTTGTGACCCAGGACTTCATGACATGTTGAAGTGATTGCCTCTTTGATCCCCTTTTAGTTGCTCTCCACAGTAGTTCCTTCTCCATTGAGTAGATCATGAAAGGCCTGGAACTTGTTGCTGAGGACTATCTTGAATTTGTTGAGTTTGTTAGTATCCTGGAGAAAGGCCGTATTGAACATTTGTGATACTGTCTGCCCCGTTGTCCAGTGCTTCTTGAGTTTCAATTTCATCTTGCCGACCAGTAAGTGATGATCTGATGCTATATCAGCTCCTCTCTTGGTTCTCACGTCCTCTATAGTCCTCCTGAACGTTTTGTTGATGCAGATATGGTCGATTTGGTTTTGTGTATGCGTTTATGTGGGAATATGGTGCCGCCTATGACTAGTTTATTGAAGGCACATAGGTTTGCAAATCTCTCACCATTTTCGTTCCTTTCTCCTAATCCGTGTCGTCCCATGATCTCTTCATATCCAGTGTTGTCCATTCCAACCTTGGCGTTGAAATCTCCCATCAGAATGGTCAGGTCCTTTGTTGGGCACTTCTCGACGATTGACTGCAGCCTATTGTAGAATTGATCTTTAGCGTCTTCATTGTAGTCGTTGGTATGTGCATAGCATTGGATGATGTTCATTGAAATACCCTCTTTTTTGTTTTGAACGAGGCTTTGATGATCCTTGGTCCATGAGATTCCCATCATATAAGCTCATTCTGCGCTTGTTTGGACAGCATCAATGCAACTCCTTGTGTATGTTTGGCATTTTCCTCTTCATGGCCGGAGTATAACAGGAGCTCTCCTGTAGTTAGTCGTTGTTGTCCAACTTGTGTCCAATGTGTTTTACTGATCCCAAGTCCCTCTAGGTTGTATCTTCTCATTTCTGCAGCAATTTGGAAGGCTCTCCCGGTGTCCCACATTGTACGAACATTCCATGTACCTAAATAAATGGTCGCTCTGGTTGTCAGAAGGAGCATCGGCCTCGTAACTTCCGAAGGAATTCGGCTTTCATCATGAGGCGTCATAATTCTTCTAAATGAAGACCTTCTGACTCCCATGGCAGAGTTTAAAAGGTTTGAATAATTTTTTTCTGGTTAGCGTTTTTTAGCGAGTTAGTTTTCTACGGGATAGGGACGCTAACTCCATGCCCAACCCTCCTCCTTTATCCGGGCTTGGGACCGGCAGTAGCCCCCGGAGGGACTCCAGGCGGAGTTAGAGAACGAAATACGTAAGCCTTATGACGTGGAGTTTTCAGATGCTTATTCAAGTGATAAATCATCAGTAGAATACAAGGCGGCTATAAAGATTGTGGAAGGGTGCACGCTCTTCGACAATGGTCATTTTGTAGTTTCTATACCGTGGAAAAAGATTTCAAATATGAAAGTGGATAATTATCCGGGCTTGAGACCGGCAGTAGCCCCCGGAGGGACTCCAGGTGGAGTTGGTTAATGCACTAGGAGGAAGAATTATAACGAAGATTGCATTTGCTTAGTTCTCGAAACTGAAACATCTGAAATAATAGCTATCTATCCCTTTTGCTTACTTGGCAATACTATGGATAACAACATTGTTGTCAAATTCGTGTTTTATGATAATTTACAAGTATCATGAGGGTTCGGTATTACATTCGTTTAGAGATCAGATATGTACTAAAACGATGACAGACAAGACTATAATTTATGGACGAACTAAACAGATTTAAGATAGCAGGTCTTGGATTTTGGCGCAAAATTCATTCATCCATATGGATAAATAACATTTTGGGATTATAACTAATGTCAGTTCGCAGGGTATTAGGGAATGATGGCAAATCAGTTGATGAGGTTGTGAATCTTCATCGACTGAGATGGTTTGGCCACGTGTTACGTATGCTTGAACACCGATTACCACGACGTGCAATGCTATCCGGTATTGGAGATGGTTGGAAGAAAGTTAGGGGCGGCCAAACCAAAACGTGGCATCAGTGCTTGAAGTCACTAACTTCTAGTCTGAGCCATGTTGGTAGATGCAGACTACTTGGTTGGGGTCCGCGTGACTTTCGTAACCAATGGTTGGAAACTCTTGGTGACATGGCTCAGAATCGATCACAATGGCGTCGGTGTATACACTCCCTGTCTTCCCTTAAACTAAGAGATTAAAATCACTTCGTATATTTCTTTCTACGAACCAATTCTTTCTTCTTGTACTATATCTCTATATGCAATCTTTCTCTTATATATTACCACCTTTGACCTAACCACCTATAAATCCGGTGTTCATCTCGTTGTGCTGATGCGGTATGACAACCTGGACCGATGCACATATGTGCCTAGTCCTACGTTGTAGCTGACTAACTGACTGACTGTCAGTTCGTGATGAAAATCCCAATCCCAACCCCTTATCATAACTTTAAATAAGATATTAATCCTTATTCCTCTCAGTTATTCATAACCCTCTTTTGACCGTAGTAAGTAGAAGAATTCTCTCAACGTCGCCTTAGCATCGCTTAAAGGTCACACATAAGTTATAGTCTAATCACGAGGATTAATCAGCGTTATTTCAGTGAGTATTAATTTAAGTTTATGTATTTGGTAATTTATATACTCCAACAACTAAGTCTTATAACGAAACTATCGATTGAAAAATACCAAAACAGTCACTAACTGTATGGTCACTTGACGAAGATGGAGGAATACATGTGATCGTTGTAATAACATTTGAATCTCAGGAGATCATATACTTCAAGAAGAAGCCATTAGCTAAGTGGATATATTTTTCATTAGATAATAAAATTTTTTTTTGAAAATTATTCAGAACTTAAATTCAAGTTCTTTGTAAGTCAACAAACGTGTCCCTATTTGTAATTTTGTTTGGAATAAATACACTGAAGTATTTAGAATATGGTTTAGTATTTTTGTTTATTTAGATAGCTTTGAAATCATCAAGTTGACGAGTGGAGTCTTGAAGCGGGTTTTTAGAATATAGGTATTAGTTATTGCATTTCATTCAAATTTAATTATCTTATACTCTCTTCTATACACTTAAGCTGTTACTGGCACCCAATTTCTACATATTTATTGGATTAACTTACTAATTCAAGAGATATGTCGATGAAATTTCAGCTCTAATTTATATGACTAAGTATAATATCGTGGTTTAATCGTTAATTTATTTCTTGATACCTGGAGCCTGGTATAAATGCAGCCAATAAAATAGTAAACATGGTGGTGGGGAATAACTTCTTTGTAAAATAATCCTCCACGCTGATACATCATTAGATTTATGTCGAACACATTTTCTTGCTTTCAATCTAATGAATAATAATTATAATGAGAAGGGTCTTCGTTGAGTGAAATGGTTGGCGATATTTTTGTTATCAAAGTATACTACTTTAATTTACGCAAGTAGCAAACTTATCCTGCCAACATTTTGGTCGTTCAAATAGTAAACAAAATTCACCGAGAAACTTCATCTATGATTGTTGGTCAACATTTACAGAGTTTTCTTTCATATTAATGAGTGAACTTCACAACTAACTACTTTTCGTGCAATATGATGAGTACTATTAATATTTACAACAGAAATTAACTAATAATCATGGAACAGTGGTTATTATATTAAGACTGGATTTCGATTTACTATATTGAGTCCTTTTATCATTGTTGTACTTCATTGAATTTATACTGAACGGTTTATAATATGCAACGTTAATAATTCACCGAAACGATAATAACTAGCTAAATATAGACGTTCAGTTTGTATTTAGTAACCTAATCATTTTGTTCTGCGAAAATATATACATGGCGCTAAATAATTTTTTTTATATCATGATCCAAAAGTTTCTAGATCTTTCATTTATAACATCAATTTATGGTTTCCTATTTTCAGGAGTTTGAAGAAGAAAAATACGAATTTGAAATGCCTCTCTAAATGATCCAATTTTATTGAATCTTGTATTGTTCAAGACTATCATAACTGCTGCATAATTTAATACAATGTTTGTTTCCTGCTTTTTTCTCTCGCTTAGTCATATGTGCGTGTCGTTTATTCGTCACTATGATTATGACTATAATTATCGTTTTCGTGAACAACCAAATCAATTTGTTTTTAATATGTTTTTCTTCTAACAAAAATATTCTGTGATCTCAAACTGATTGCATTTAGTATTATTTTCCTTTTATATCTCTTGTTACTTATACTGTCATAATTAAATACTCAATGATTTGAATTAAATGTGTTTCTCAAACTTCAGTATTACGCGTTATTACATTACCATAACTTACAAATATATTAAAATGTGTTTATCACTTTGACAAATGATGGGGTGAAATAAAGTTGTTGCATATAGAGTATTATCTACTATGAACTGTTACTTTGATGATTCAGAAATCCATTTTGTTTGACAGAAGTTACTTTTCTAAGTTATTGTATAATCGTTTGTACTATTTATTGATTTCGATATTTCAACTACGGATATGTCATGCCAACTGATTGGCGAGTGATGACTTATATCTATGTAGTTTTATTTGGTTTAATTCACAAAATTGGCATACTTATAATAGTAGATATTTCGAAATAACCATGTATGTGAACTAGTACATCTAACATTGTAATAACCGTTATGTATTAATGATGTAAGTTATTGACACAAACAAACTTGTGTAACAAGGTTCATAAAATTTCATTTATTATTGCCATTTTAAACAGTTTCTCATAAATATTTAAATTTACTCTCTATTCGCCAAATTATCATGGAATCCGTTAGACAAACTATAACAATAAATATCATGTAAATATTAGTGGGACTGTTGTAAACAATTTTAGTTTTTAAATATTGGTTGTTTGAATCTTCCCATTGATTTTGAGGCCTGGAATTGGCATTTGTGCTTTTTGTACGTATCGCCTCGATGTTGCCAGTAAATCACAAGCAATTTAAACAAAAATGGATGGTAGCTAGTTGTGGAAACCAGGGTGCGCGTTTCGTCCCTTTTGAGACTCATCAGGTGGATATACCTGCACCCCAGAGTTGGTGTCCACTCTGGGACTCAAATCCAGTAGCTTTGGTTTTAAACGCCATCGCATTATTCGCGCATCAGGTGCATCCAGCTGACGAGTCCCAAATAGGATGAAACGCCCATCCTGGATTTCAATGCTAGCTACCATCAATTTCTGCTTAAAATATTGTAAACCATTGTTTATGTGTGGAAACCCGTAATGGTTTGTGAATAACAGTAATACGTCTGAAGGTAGGCAAATAAAGATCAATGAATTCATTTAAAAATAACGAATATAGTTGGAACTATTCCCTTCAGAAATTTAAACAAAGGGTGAACGACAATATTTAGATGATACGACGAATTCACTATATTCTATTGATTTCTCTTCAGCTGCATAAAAGTTAGTATGTTTAATTATTTCCAATTAAGAGTATGATACTAATTTCAATCGATATTAAAAAGGTTATGCATAGTATGGAAGAAGTTAAGAACAAGTTTTAAAAGGAATGATCTTTTTATAAATTTCGATAAAACAACACGGAGTAAATCTTTTTATAACTTAATAAGGTTCTAGTTCTAGAATTTCTATATTAATTTTATTGGTTGATATGACATTTTTGGAAGCTTAGAAAAGGAAAGTTGACATGATTTCAACTTACCTAATCGTGATCACATACAGTTGAAAAATGAACTGGTCAGAATGGTTCCAACACATTTGAATGTTTACTCCCGACTCTTCTTGTGTACAAGGTCAGGTTAAAGCATCCTAAATGTTATGGGTTCTGTGGATTTCAGTAACGCGTTCACTAAATACACATTGTGTCACGTGTCAAGCAGGTGGTGTGCTATTGAATTCCCTAAACAATTTCCTCTTCGGATATGTATTTTTTGGAATATGCTTATTATAACTGGTAGATGTCCATCTTTCAATCTATACACTTTTAAATGCACATGTGGAATGATGTGTGGAAAATATTTTCTGACGGATATTTACCTATATTTGTTTATGTCCATGAGCATAGTGTCGTGTACATTAGTACTAATTTCGCGCCAAGGAATTTGCTTTTAGGTCCTAAAAAACTGATCTTAGCCACCCCATCTGCTTGACAGTATAATTTATTGTTAAATTGGAACTGCACATTCTTAGTACATAGTCTTAGTAACTGTTTCAAATGTTGTGTTAAAAATGGTTAACCTTTGTATCCGTCACGATATAATTACTTCAAAATTGTGTTATTTGTAATTTAGAAAGGTCATTTGCTAAAGGTCAGAATGATTCGTTGTAAGATGACGAGTTATAACCATTGTAATAGTAATAAATTAAATGGTATGCATAAAATGTGTAGAACGATGTAGAAAATATTAACAATAATGATAACTTATTGTGAGCTTAATGTGCATTAAGAGGGGTGTGTTATGATAATCCTAGCTTTCAACCTCACGTCCGATTCAGTTCAGGCGTTATTCGTGTTGTGCTTAGCTTTAAACTAATAAACCTTTTATTTAATATTTGGTTAAAACAGATTTTTATCCGAAAGGTCATATTAGCAACCGAAAACTCGCTCCACTACTCTGTAATTTGATACTGAGTAACATACAACTACGTATTGAACTTTATGCCAATTAAAATTCACTTTTTTTAATCTGTATATCGTCACCAATCTCTCACAAGTCTTGTAAAATTATTATGAATTTCAGCTCTAACATAATACCGCGTTCTTTAATTGTTTACAAACTTCTTCCATATCAGATTACATATAAACAGCCAAACGTTATTTGCTATATTTATTGAAATCCAGATACGCTCATTCAATTTACAAATTCACACTTCCGTCAAGTATTTTTGCAGTCTAGAAGGATTTTGAATATCATCAATCTGCTGAATATCATTCAATCACTTATAAATGTTCGTCAGTCAGTAACAACGTAGAACTTCGTACGTAAGTACATCGTTTCGAGTTGCCGTACCACTTATAAACGAGCGGAAATAATCTAAATCATTCCCTATGAAATGAATTAGTTTCTATGTTGCTGTAAATGAGTGCTTTTGTCAAGCTCGCTAAACGTCAATTCTTTAATTATTACTCCTTATTTCGAAAACATCATTTCTGTCATAAGTAGGCTAACTTATTTTCATTTATGTTATAGTGGTAAATATTTCCCCAAATTAAATACTGCATCGGTGCTGGTCTTGTTGGTTTTACGTAATCTTTCTACTAAAAATACCATCAATAATGAGTATATTGATAAAAACTATATCATATAAATGGTTTGAATTTTTTTTCTGGTTATCGTTTTTTAGCGAGTTAGTTTTCTACGGATAGGGTCGCTAACCCTATGCCCACCCTTCCTCCTTTACCCGGGCTTGGGACCGGAAGCAACTCTAGATGAGCTACAGTCTACTACCCCCTTCCTCCTTCTTCTGGTGGCTAACTTGATTATGAAGACCTCGACATCTGAGGGAAAACACGGAATACGATGGACAGCTCAGAACCAATTAGACGATTTGGAATTCGCAGATGACCTAGCCCTATCCCATACACACGAACAAATGCAGATGAAGACAACTAGTGTAGCAGTAGCCTCTACATCAGTAGGCCTCAATATGCACAAAGGAAAAGACAAGATCTTCAAATGCAACACGGGGAACACCAACTCAATCACACTAGATGGCGATACTCTAGATGTGGAGTCTTTCACGTGCCTGAACAGCATCATCGATGAACAGGAAGGATCGGATGCAGACGTAAAAGCGAGGATTGGCAAAGCAAGGGCCGCATTCCTACAATCGAAGAACATATGGAACTCAAAACAACTTTCAACCAATATCAGAGTGAGGATCTTCAATACGAACGTCAAGGCAGTTCTACTGTACGGAGCTGAAACTTGGAGAACTACAACAACCACCATCAAGAAGGTACAAGTATTTATAAATGGTTGTCTACGCAAGATACTCAACACCCATTGGCCGGATGCCATCGGCAACAGCCTTTTGTGGGAGCGAACAAACCAGCTTCCACCTGAAGAGGAAATTAGGAAAAGACGATGGAAATGGATAGGACATACATTACGCAAATCGTCAAACTGCATCACGAGACAAGCCCTAACTTGTAATCCTGAAGGGAAGCGGAAAAGAGGAAGGCCAAAGAACACATTACGTCGAGAAATGGAAGCACATATGAAAAAGATGAGTAACAACCGGAAAGGATTTCCCAGGACAGGGTTGGATGTAGAGTGCTAGTGAGCGTAAGTAATCATAGAAAACTTCAAACCACAAAAAAACTCTACTTTATGTTAACCTATCTATTTGGTTATTTATTGAAAATATCACTGTATATATAACGCAAATATATTTTTTAATAAAGGAAATAATATGAAAGACAACTTGAAACCTCGTCACACTGGATAATAAGCTAATATTGTCAGAGTAGGTTTAAGGTGAGAACAAACTCTTTTGAATATCACCCATTTCTATTCTAGTTGACCTTTTATTTTTATATATAAACGTTCTTAACAAGTATATGTGTGATCAGATTTTTCGGAATTCATCACATAGTTCTGATAATCTTCGTCTTATTACATTATCCAAGGAACTAATTGTTTCACATATTTGTTAATATTTAGAGTCTACAATTATATCTATTATTAAGATAATTAATGTTACATTCCATCACATCAACTTAATAATAAGAAATACCATTCAAATAAAACTAAATTGCTCTTTATTCAATTTTGGTGTTTTTTTCATCTAAGTTTATGTATATTGAAACAGATCATTTATGTCAAAAGAAAATATGCTGGTAAATATACTTAGTGAGAAATTAAAGTACAATTGAGTATTTATTTTGTGACTTAAACATATATTCCTCAAAGCAAACAATTTGTATTCAGAACTGAAAGGTTTTCATAAATTTCACGTCAATGTTACATACGGCGCATATTCAATTTGGCCTTGATTTCCAAAATCTATGTTTGTTTACATATAGTATTACTGATATTGAAATTCTGACTACTAATATAATTAACATCGTCAGTAGAATTTAAATACGTAAAATTTACGAAGTGGTATGATAATATTTAATTGTTGAAACTGTTACGACGGTGAACTGTTGTTTTCATTATTCAAGGTTTCGTGTAACCTAAAAATGTTTATAACACTGTAAGAAAATGAAAAAATAGATTTTATTTATAAATAATTCTCATCCACGTCTAGTAAAATATACTCCGAAACATTGAATACAGTTTCAGTCTCATGTAGATAATGAATGTAATAGCCAAATAAAGGGTCAGTGGAATCCGAATCCTTGATGATCAGTAACCGTTGATGCTACCTTGACGTGGTGGTCAGGCTTGCCTATCGTGATGAAGCAACCGAGCTATACTGGCTGGAACAACCGTTCCTCAAGGTCCTACCATGTCAGACAGGTCGGTTGAAGAGCGGTAAGACTAAAAGCAACAAACCCAAGGTCCGAAGGCGAAGTCGTACTGCTGACTGTACAGAGGTGTGACAGCATTAAGGTGTTTCCTTCAGACAACCAGCATGACAGCGATGCTGCCTTCCCACGAGGAGGGGTGGGGTTAGAAAAGGTCGACCCTAAAAATGCACACCTCGCCTTATCCCACGGATTTCCGTCTCCGGCGGTGAGGCCCTTTGAAGAACGGAGCTAACACGTCAAAAACCTTCCACGAAAAGGCCGAGCGCGACCGGCCTCAAGCAGTTGTCCCTTGGGCACTTCGGTCAGGCTCTCAGGTCACTGAGACCACCTCTAATCCAATTTCCTTTTCAGGTACCTCCAGAAGAACCCTT